TTTATTTATTTATTTCAGTGTGGTCGTTTACTGTTTCAACGCTTGATGTCATAAACAGTATAATCGAATAATAACTGCAAAGCCCAGATGAAGACAAAGCCCACCAAAGCAGAGTTCTGCAGCAATCTCAAATTTATAGCGTTCAGTGTGAAGTTACAGTCACTGCCCTTAGAGGAGCAGAGGCTTGTCCTTGGTTCAGTTCAAATCCTGTTGTTCTGAAATGCCAGAAAGTCACAACTGGGACCAATTTAAGTGTTTCTGCAACCTGGGTGCTTTCATGCATGCACACACATAAACTTTAAAAGAATAACAAAGTGTCTTCTCTCTCCCCTCGACTTTGATGCAGAGCAAGAGGAACTAAACACTTTTAAATGCAAGACCTAAACTTAGAAACTTAAAAATATTCTCCATGCTCAGCTTGTCACTCACTTTGGGACTTAGTGAGTCATCTGAATAATAACCACTGAGCAACTGCAGCGTGCCTCGTAAAATCCCGTCTCCTGTTGTGTAACGTCAGGTTTTTGCAGAGTACAGGCTGGAACTAAATGCTGGCAAATTGCACAAAAAGCCCACCACTGCTCACCTGCTGGGCTACGCCGCTGTACACATCCTGGGGCACCTCGCAGGGCATGAGGTTGACTGAAGTCGCACCGATAACGTCTCTGCCAAGAGCTGCGTAGTGCTGGAGGCCGTTGCAGGAGCCGTCCTGAAAAAGAAAAAGTGAAGGACTGAGTATTCATTCCTTCACTCACTCATTCAACCTTTATTTATAGTGAAGACAAATAATAATATTAAACAGTTTCACAGTCTGTAGTCACATGCATTTTTAACCCTGTTTATGCCTCAAGCAATAACCAACACGACAACACCAAGTAGAGCTGTCAAAATAAAATGACAGGAAGATTTGCTAAAGATAATATTTCCTCCTTTGAGACACCTGTTAGAATGTCTACAAGTAATTTTAAAAGTTTTTTTTTTCTTTTTTCTCAGTACCTGGTGAACAGGAAAGTGAGAGACAAACTTAGTTGGATCCGGTGACCGGACTGCGTTGGCGATCTCCATGCAGCAGGCCAGTGCCTGCCATGGCTCATCGGCCTCCATCCACCATTTTTTGCCCTAAAAAGAGACAAAAAAAGGCACACACATAACAGATTGCTTTGATAAACATATGCAGAAAATACTGGTTACTGTTTGTTGTACAATTAGAGTATTTAGTCTTTTTAAAAACATCTCTATCAGCAGGGTTTCTGCATGTTTCACCAACTCATACTTAAGACCACTATGAAAGAAATGTAAGACCTATATCTCAGAAGAGACGTATGAACTTTGTCCAGCCAAGTGGCAATAACGTTGCCAGTTGAGACCCATAATAGACCCCAAAGGTCAACTTTTGGGTCTACCCCACAACAGTGTGGTAGACCCAAAACTCTTGCTAGCTCGCTAGCAGTGAGTTAGCAGTAGCCTCAAACATTTTGAGTCAAAAAACTTAATGAAGATGTCCGAGTGACTCAGGCTTTTGCATGACAGAAAAGTCCCACAAGAAAAAGAATAGATAAAATATATGAGACTAAATAGTCCTGTCAAGACTAAGACATGTGATTAACTTATTAAAGACCAGCTTTTGTTTTTCAAATGAATATAAGATATTTGAAAGACTTAAATTCATTTAAAAAGTAAGTTGGCCTTCAATATGTTAATTACAGGTCTTAAATGTTGTCTTTCCGTTGCTGTTTGATTTTGTGTATTATGTATCTAATACTAAGACAATTTAAAGACTTACTTTTAGATGGATTAATTTAAAACTTTTTGAAGATGCGCGGACACCCTCTACCGAGCCAATTATAATTTAACACACTTTCGATCAAACAATGAAGGCGATCAAAACAATGAAGGTGAACTAACGTTCAGAGGGTCATCTGCAGAGTCCAGGATGTCCTCCATGATGCTGTCGGCGTATTCCAGACGTCCCTGCAGTGAGCTCCTCTTCTTCAGCCCCGTCAAGTTGACCAAGTGAATCTTCAGCCAGTCCAAACCCTTGGGACCAAGAGGCTTCCCCTCAGCGAACACGAGCGTCGCCCGAGTCACATCACTCCCCAAGTGATTGAAATACGGGGGACATGGGTAGGTGCGGCCCCTGAAGTCCATGTTGTGGGGAAACCAGAACAGCTTGTCCCGCATGTGGTGGGCAATGGAGAGTTTATAAAGAGCGTCCATTCGCAGGCTGTGCATCTCGCTGCACTTCTTCTTGGCATTGATCACCTCTCGTTTCATGTGTGCCTTCTCGCTGGCTGTGTAGTCGGGGTCTTGAGGGTTGAAGTGGGGTATTTTAGGGGCTTCTGACAGAGGCGGAGGGATGTCCAGCTTATCGCTGCCCCGGTCGTTAAAGATCGAGATGATTATGTCCAGAATTGGCTTGTTGACCCTCCAGGCGCAATTACTCAACTGGTTGAGCGAGTCAAAAACCGGGTGGAGATTCGGACACTTCTCCAGCAGTTCCTCGTGCTGCGTGGCCCCGTGCGTGGCGCGCATCAGCTTGGCCGGGGTGAGCAGGTAGGCGCCGAACTTCTCCGATGTCCACGGCACCGGAGGGCACAGCATCGGCATCACTGACGAGTCAAAGGTCAGCGTGGTCTCCATGGCTTCCTGCTGCATCTGTGTCAAGATGGGGTGTGGCTTGATGAAGCCAACCTGAAGGGAAAACCATGTGAAATGCAAGTGGAGTCTGAACTGATATGTAGGAATATTTGAGTTGCTCATAGAAAGAAAAATAAATAAATAAAAATCAGTAAAATAAAAAAAGCATTTTAAAAAAGAGCTTGAGGCTTAATTGCTTCTCAAAAGTTTAGCAAATTGTTGTTGCCACCAATTGGTTTTTCTTTTACACATCTATCCAGTCCTGGGAAATACCTACAGTTCTATCAGACTTTCCAAGAATGCATAACGCCATATTTTTAAATTATTTTACTCATATAAATATTCCCTTAAAGTTTAATGTAAAATATCTGTCAGAAGTCGTTGCTAGAGCAGATGGCTCGAGTAGGTTTGCTGTTATGCATATTGGGTCTGACTTTACTTAACATGCGTGAAGCAGTGAATAAAAAGAGCTTCATTTGTTGACTGTAACCTGACAGAAACACCTCAGCGTCACTCCAATGACTCAAACCTTCACGCTGTGCAGTAAAATCATTAGGATCCCCCCTGATGGGTTAATCACTGTGGAGAAAAGGGTCTGAATCTACAAGAATAGAAAATTACACAAGAATTAAACTTGACTAGAGTATGTCTCACTGTCAAAGCGCATCAAGCTCAGCAACCCACACATCTGCCCGCTTCTCCGAGCGTGGTCACCTCAGCCTGCTGCAGGCTCCCACGGCAGTAAATCAGCGAGCCAATTAAGGGGACGCTGGAAAAAAAAAGGGATTAGGCCGGGCCCTATTCATCTTACTCATCTGCTACCACCACCATTCCCCACCAGGGGAAAGTGGTTTTTATAAATCACCCTCCTAGGAGCTTCATGCTGGATAGAAGGGCGCTCAAGTGTTCAAGGTAACAGGCTTTCTGAACAATCTTTGTGACAAAAGTGAAGGTCAAGTTCTTAAAGGTTGCTCTTTTTGTTTCTACTCCTTATTTCTTTGTTCATGAAAAGGTCAGCTGTACAGCTAGTTCACCGATAACTTTCTCAATTACTTAATGTAATTGTGTATAATTATCCCTAATTTAGGAGCTAATTTGACAAATTGGGAGGGCTAAAAATGGAACAGGTTTGTTCATTTGTTCTTTTATTCTTAATCCTCTGGAGAGCTTTTTCAGACAAGTTTTCAAAAACTTCTTTAACTTTTACTCTGAGTCACTAAAATAAGAATCCCAAACATCTGCACCTAAACAGTAGTGATTTTTTAAAAAGGTTCATGTGGCTCTATACCCTGCGCAGCATGTAAATGAGGGTGGCACAAACCCTTAAGAACCTACCTATACGTTTTTTTAATCAATTTCCAACAGATAACGACTAGCATAGCATGAATCAAGAAAGCTGTCAGCACACAAATTCAGATGTTTGACACTGTGAATGTATAAATCCAAACAGATTTCCTTTGTATTTCTCATTACCTATCACAACATAGTGACATCTATGAGTATCACAACATTTTATTTATTTATTTTTTTTATAAATGTTACATACTGCAGCTTGAAAAATCTATAAACCTAGGCAGATACTTCCACTGTCAGGTTACTGGCTCAGGGTCAGCTAGCACAGACCTGATCAGTTTTTGGCATCCTGCTAAAAAGTCGAGTGCGTGTCCAGCAGCTTTATGGTTACAGCTCGTTGCAGCGCCGCACTCCAAGACAGGTTGTGGTTCTCAGCATAATTTCAACATGATTCCTTTGGAAATCTAAAATCATCACAGTGGGTCAGTAAATGCTCTTAGTCTCTAAAAAAAATATATATATAAAATTTTCTTCATACTGCCGCATTTGCGGTATCCTCTAATAACGACAAACACAATTCCTAGTTTAACCACTAAGGGTGACCGATAACCGTTGGCGTCAGGCTGTGCACATTTCCACAGTCCCTTGGACGTTCATCTAAAGTTCTGTGTGGAAAACAACCAACATGTTTCGAATCCAGTGGTGTTCTGCTTTGTGTAAGACTGACTCATCCTCCACCCGCCCCCCCCAACCTCACAAATCAAAATGATGTTCTGCATTTTCTTTGGTTTTGAAAAGTTAAAATTGCATTACAAACATCAATGCTGTAACTGTCTTTAAATGCAGATTATGCAGAAAGTTTGCAGCTACAAGAAAGTTCTCTCTTTTTTTTGTGAAAAGAGTGGAGTTGATACTTTGTGAAGCTTGCCCAAGTAAATTTCAAGTAAGGTACAATTACATCAGAGAGGCTGCACATAACAAAGTGGGTCTGTACCTGTCTGGTGCTGCGGAAGGTATACATGTGGTAGAGGATGGGGATGAGCTTTTTGTCATAGGCGGGGTTCAGGATGTCACTGTTAATTTTAAGATTCTTCACCATTATGTCCACAATGAAGGTTCCCAGCTCCAGCATTAGAACATACGGCCAACTTGTCTCTGCGCCCTGTAGCGTGGGTCCTGAACTCTGCTCCATCTCCAGTTTGCACCACTGCTCCCTTGGAAGGACATTGCACACCTGAAGGAAAACACCAGAACCTTTTTGACACTTTTATTTAAGTAATCTGCATAAAGATTGCTAGCTTTGATGCACATCTACTAGCCTCAAAATTGGTGCATGGAAAAAATAAACATGCAAACTAATAACAGAGACAAGCAAGCAACACTTTTAGATGAGTTGCCTTGAAAAAAAATTATAATTGGCATTGTTTTAAACAACAAAGTTTGCATATAAATGACCTCAGATGGCAAAACAAGTACCTTAATAAACTTCCTCTCTTCCTAACAGGAGTTAAACAAGCATCCGGCTTGTTACAATTGTGATATTTTTAGCATCTTCCCAAGGGCGTATGAAGCCATCAAAACACAAAGTTAGGGACAAAGAGTGCAAACTCTCATTAAAGCAAGACAGTAAGTCAAATATTTCTCATTATCTATCACAAGATCAAGATGTAACAGAGCTGCTTGGTTTGCAAAGACAGAAAGATGCAAAACTTCATAACAATGTTAGATAAAAAAAAACAAAAAAACATCTTGTTTTTTCCAATCAGGGCTAAACTGAAATCCAGAGCACAAGCGCAGAGTGCAGTCCACAATGCAATGAAAACAAAGTGTTAAATATGACTAACAAAGCATAAAACATTGTTTTGTGGTGGGCATGGTTAAGCAGCAAATTCACTCCAAAGTCATTGGAAATGTGCAACACTAATGGATGCTAAATGAGCTGCACTCATAAGGACAATTGATATATATGCAATATGCAGCATTACTGCAAACTCAGAAAATGTGTAACTGTGAAAGTTTTAGTTCAAATGAGAGATTTCACAGAGGAGAAATTAAATAATTTTTACACTATAAGAAGATTGTAACAAAAACTGATTTTTTTTTTTTTTTTTTTTTTTTTTTTTTTAAATTTAAAACTTTGTGCCAAAGTGCCGTTAAAAATCAACATTCCAAAACCAGCTTTTTGGGTTCTTT